TATATGTTCAAAGGATAATAGTACTGGTTGGAATATAACCCATAATCCCAATTGTGATATTAAACAATTCCAATGTCAATAATAGCTAATATTAAGTAATATTTTTTTATTTTTGTAATTTTTATTATAAAAACTTGAACGCTAAAATTACGAGTAGCTTGAAATCAGTGTTTTTTTTAAGAAAATAAAGAATGACAATTTTTGGTAACGATTAAACATATTTCGAAAATGGATATAAATTTTACTATTAGGCTGACATGAGGACGCCAATTGGTTATATTAACAGTTCCAATCCTTTATTATTTTTTTTTTTTTTTGGATTCAATAGTTTCGGAGATTAAAGTACATGGTATAATTTTCTAAATTTTAAAAATTTGTAATTAAGGCATAGTATAGTACTGATTAATCGACAAAGCTAGATCGCAAAATGATAATCATAGATTTACAAAGTTTGTACATGTATTTCTTACATTTCCTTACATTTCAGATTTTGGACAACGGTAAACAAAAAAGGAAATTTTTAAATGTTAATGACATTTTGTATTTTAGAATATTTTAACTAAAATTTTAATTTTCGGTTTACCAATTTGGCCAATATGAAATGATAATAATTTATATGCCAAAAAAAAAAGAAAAAGAAAAATATGATGTGTTTATTTTATATTCTGTAAATAATCAAGGATATTTGATATTACGAAGACAATTCCCGCAGAGTATTTCATGTTCGATGATGATCTAGAAAATTATCATACATATTGAAATGAAAGGCGTGGTGGACATCGAAATTTGCGACCGTCAAAATGCTTCAAATTCGTGCTGGAACAAGGAAAGCACCTATTTTACAATAACAAACTGTTTTGAATTTATGGACGAACTCTAAAAAACAATAATAAAAGAAGGAAATGGTTGAAAAGAAGTCCTACGAACAACGACATTACCGAATCAGATTAAGTTTTTGTTAGCAATAGGTTCTAAAAAAAAATTTTTTTTTCGGATTTAAATTAGATAATATATAACATGTTTACTGTTAAATCAATTTTTAATAAATTCAAATCAAAAAAAAAAAAAAATACAAGCGCATTGTTAAATGAGATTTTTATTGGATAAACAAATGTCATTTATATATATATTATAACTGACAAATTATAAGATAATAATAATAAAATATTAAATATGTAAATTTAAACTGTATATTAGAGTAAAAATTAACATGGGATAAGAAATTGATTTTGAGTAAATGATACTTGAAAATCAATTTCGTAACACTTGAGATTTTGCTAGAAAAATCAATTTTTAAACGAAATTAAAAAAAAATATTATATTTGCTAGGGTATTAAATACCCTCAGACTCCCCATCCAATCATAGTAAAGTTAAGAAATTTTGAATTTTATAAGGGTCCAAATAATATCGATCATTTCCTAATTAATTCTAATTTTAGATTTTTTGACTGATGTTACACAAACAAATGAGATTTTGACGGCCTAAATTGCTTGCTTTGTTAATAAGATAATCGACTATAAAAATTTAACCAAATAAAGTTCATATATCATATAATAATATGAATCAAAAATTTCAATTTTAGTTGGTGGGGTCCCGTTCTATTTATATTCGAAAAATATAGAATATTTACTAAATTCAAAATTGCTATCAATCAATATATGCTTTCTTTATGTTAATCAAACAATTTAAAAAATCAATATCATATGGGATCTTTGCAATAGAAAAGGGGGAAACGGCTGGAAAAAATAAAAAATGAGTTATTGCTAAATCTGAACATATTTTGACCTAAAATTCATATTTGGCATATAAAAGTAAAATAGATTTTTTCCGGCTGTTTCCCCCTTTTCTATTGCAAAGGTCCCATATATCCTTTCATCGTATTTATCGATAGGATCTCCATAATAATTATTGGTACGAACAAAAACGGGATCATCGGTCAAAGGATAAATGATTTTTAATTCGATTAACGTTTTCAACTCACAATCCGAAATGTTGCACGGCAATTTGATCATTCTATTTACACTTTCATAAGGAATATAAAGGATTGAATTTGTTTCTATTGGATTGCATTTGTTAAAATCGTTTTCGAAATGATCGATGGCATCATTTTCGACTAAAGTACATGTAGATGATGCTTCATATTCGACGATATTAGGCGAGTCAAATTCATCCTTATCCGGATACGATTCCGGAATTGATGAATATATGTTAAAATCGTTTTCGAAATGATCGATGGCATCATTTTCGGCTAAAGTACATGTAGATGATGCTTCATATTCGACGATATTATACGAGTTAAATTCATCCTTATCCGGATACGATTCTGGAATTGATGAATATATGTTAAAATCGTTTTCAAAATGATCGATGGCATCATTTTCGACTAAAGTACATGTAGATGATACTTCATATTCGACGATATTAGACGAGTCAAATTCATCCTTATCCGGATACGATACCGGAATTGATGAATAAATGTCGATAATTTCATCAATTTCATCAATTTCAATTATATTTTCATAAGTTATGAATGATGTAATTTCAGAAACCATGGTTTCTTTGATCACAGCGACTTTTCTTGGTTTGCGGAGTACTTTGCGTTTAAGAGATTTAAATGTCTTTGAGATAATTTTTTTCAACTTATTGGGCGATTTATGTTGTGTTGGCCAGAATTGATCACCCTCTAATGGTTCCATATCAATAGATTGGGTACATACAGGAACGAACTTTTTGTCAAAAATCGAAAAGTTGGGATCGAAAGTAGTTGTTTGCATTTTTGGTTGAGAAGTTGCGTTTTTAAAGTATAAATTTTTTTTTTTTTTTACCTGTATTGATGTTTACGGCAAGGTGCCTTTTGAGCGGCCTTCCTTGCTTTTATAATTTTTGTACAGAATACGTGTCGTTGTTCAACTATGTAAATCAAAACTTTGTTAAGTATCATATAAAAATTTACTATCAGAGATTTTTTGACGATCATTTAATTTCTGCGGTTATACCGGTTAAATGGATCAATTGGATTTTTTTTGCCGGATATTTTAAAAATTGTAATACAAATTCGAAGTTTTATGACTTTTAATTTTTTAATACCAATTACAGAGTTTATACAGTAATAAAGAAAATTATATTTTTTTTTTTTTAGAAAAAAATTTTTCAAATAATTGATCCGCTTTTCTAACTCTTTCTGCATCATCTAAAATTATATTATTCTTCAAATTTAAGTTACATAATGGTGATTTTTTCTTTGCTCCCGGACCTTTTAATACTGGATTTGTTAATATTTTCAAATGAATTAGAGCCAATAGAAAGCATTGTTTAGTTTTAGTTCGTCCATCCTATTTAAGATTCATTAATTTTTTGTTTTTGTCATTTTTATTTGTGAGCTTGTATTTCACGAGCTTTTTTAATTGACGGGCACGGCTTGAAATTCTTCCCATTAAATAATCCGAAATCTGTAAAATTCAATTTCACATAATTTTAGTAGCTTTTATGTAGTGATAAAGTTCAAATGCATACATAGCGACCTTAGGAACAATGTGACACTTTGTTTTTTTGAAGAAAATTAAAAAAGCGAAACTTTTCCTATAGAGGAATTGTTCAGAAATAGTTATTTTGTATGTTTGAAATATGAATAGCTTTTTTTAAAAAAGCAGCTAGTTGCATGAAAGAGACGGTTATTTAGAATACTTTCGAGAAATTTGGAAAGAAATTAATAAGAAGAAGTCAAAGAAATTGAAGTTTAAAAATGTATTAGTTTTAATAGGAAATTTATTATAAGCAAATTTAAAACTATTTTAAATTATAGTTTAATACGAAAAATCTCTAATAGTAAATTTTTATATGATACTTAACAATGTTTTGATTTACATAGTTGATGGAACACCCCAATGCGTTATGATGCATCAACATGAGCAGATCTTTTTTGGCCTACATCAGATCTGATGACCTCTCTGTACAACAGTAACACAATTTGACTATTTAAACAATGATTTTTCAACTTTTATTAATTTTTTCGCTCATCCTGATTTTTTATAATTTTAAAGATGTCGACAATATTATTTTCCAAGTTAAGCCAAAATTTTATTGAAATCTTAGATGATGATGAATATTATGATATTACAATTGAGGTTGGCAAAGATCCGAATGTGAAAATATTTCGCGCGCATATGAACATATTGAGTTATCGTTCTCCATTTTTGCGACGAAAATTGTCATCCAATAAAAATAATGATGACACCCTAGTTCATATTAAGTTGCCAAATATTTCTCCAGAAATTTTTCAAATCATTTTGAAGTAAGCGTATACCTAAATCTAAGCTTCTTATTATCATTTTTCTTTCGTCATCTTTTAATAATCATAAATTTTTATGATGTAGGTACATTTATGGCGGAATTGTTTCATTAAACGAACAAGATACTTCAGATACTTTAAAAATATTGGTTGCTGCTGATGAGCTTCTTCTTCAAGAACTAGTTGATTATATACAGAATTATTTAATTGAAAACAAATCTGTATGGATGGAACAACATTTTGAGCTCACTCATCGAACAAGTTTTCAATTCAATTCATTGTTGAAACTTCAAGAGCATTGTACGGATGTTATGGCCAAAACACCTGAAAAAATATTTCAATCATTTGACTTCACATCGCTTCCTGAAAGATCTTTAATCTCACTTATCAAGAAAGATGAATTACAAATGGAGGAAATTGAAATTTGGGAACACGTATTAAAATGGGGACTTGAAAAAAATCCTACACTTATTTCCGATCCTTCAACTTGGTCAGATGATGATTTCAAAATGATGGAAAATACCTTACAAAGTTGCATACCCTTGATTAGATTTTTTAGTTTATCTTCTAAAGAATTCTTTGAAAAAGTTCACCCGTATAAAAAGCTTTTAAGTCCCCAACTTTATGAAGAATTATTGAAATCTTATTTGAATCCTACAAGTGAACCAAATATTAATATTTTACTACCTAGGAATAGAAAGGATGATGGAATAATTGAATCAAAAATTGTAGATTTAAATATTGTTTCACTTGTTTCGAGATGGATTGATAAAATAGAAATTAATAGCAAAATTGTTTATGCAAGGTTATATTTACCATATAAATTTAAATTATTATTAAGAGGAAGTAGAGATCGATTCGAAGCCAGAGTATTTCATAATTTATGTGATAATATACCTTGCACGGTTACATTCATTAAAGTAAAAGGAACAGATGAAATCCTTGGTGGATATAATCCTTTAATATGGAATAAAGATGGTGCACGTGGGTTAACCAGAGATTGTTTTATATTTTCTTTTAAGAATAAGGATAATCTTAAAGATTTAATTTTAAGTCGTGTAAAAAACATAGGTATAGATGCTATATATTGTAATAATTATGATGGCCTCTCCTTTGGTGAAGATCTTCGAGTTCATGTTGACAATGTTCGAATTAATCTTAGAAAGAATTATGAATATCATGATAAATATATATGTGATTTTAATAATAATTATTGTAAAATAAGTAATTATGAAAAAGGGATAAGAAATACAAAGGATAATTTTTCTATAGAAGATTATGAAGTGTATCAAATCTTAAAAGAATGATTTAATATGATCTTCTGGTGATGGGGATGTGGTGGTGGTAAGGGTGGTGAAGGAGGAGGAGGAATTAACAAAAGAATCGAGATTGAGTTTATGAAATAAACTTTTATGTAACATAGTTTATTATATGGTAAATGATATGACGTTTTTAGGAAACTTTTCTTTTTGGTAAAACGGTAGTGTTGAGGTATCATGAGTTCGGATGGAGATTAACCGTCTCATGGATGAAATTCCAAGCTTCTTAGTTGTTTTGTTGAAAATACCCTTAAAAGGATTTTTGATTTTTTTATCACTATTATTGCGCTCAGTTCTTTGCGTTTATATTTATAAACAACGGAAGGTAAGGTACATTTATTTAATAAAAATCAATTAATCAACACCGCGGCGATCTAATCCGTTATAAAATCAAATTATACAAAATAATAAATGCTAATTAATCAAACTAAGAACAAAAGAAAAATTTATCGGAGAGGGAAATAAAATAAAATAAATGTAAAGAATAAAAAGGAAAATGTTCTGAATGATCTATCTAATTACAACCCATCGTTTTATTTATAAGGAAAATTTGTCCAGAAAATAAATTCTGGCATGTGGACAATTGGCCAGAGGGACAACTTGGCACGCAAGGGAGAATTGGCCAAAATCGATCTACAAGGTCTAACTAACGTGAAGGTTACACGAAATTGAAAAAATATATTATTCACGTTAGGAATCTCGATAAATATTCTCAAAAAAAAAAAAAAAAAAAAAAAAAAAACCTAATAAAATCATGTTTTAAAGTGGAATTTTTAAATCGATAAGCTTTTTTAAAACTTCTAAACATCTTTTTTTTTATAGTGGAAGTTCTATAAGGAAATTGCTTAATCACAACGAAATAATAAGCCAACCATATTGAGATCGTGGCAGATGGTTATTGCTTGTTTGTATATAAGCCACAATAAAGGATGTAGTGAAGCCACATCAACAAAAAAAAAGGAGGCGATTGTAACGAGCAATGCCTCGTATGGCTAAAAAAAGTATAGCCAAATAGTTTTAAAATACGATATTTTTTTTACTACGTTCAACATGAAACAATATAAATAAGCATCGAAAGGTAAGGTATGCGAAAAAATTCATATTATATATATATAATATATAGAGATAAATGATGATGGAGGTACCCGCCGGTCAAACCTCTAAAAGTTTAAAGAAAGGATGGTATTTAGCCATAAGCCCCGATGGGCAATATATCCTCACATTTAACAGCAGTAAGGGTTGATGCAATATTCATAATTTTATTATTGTAAAAATCGAAATGTATACATCTAATGATACTTTTTTTAGATACATTTCAATATAAAATTATCAAAATGGAAAACAAAGAAAAATTGTTCGAAGCGATAATTGACAAAAAGAAATTTCCGAATTTCGAACTTCATAAACGTCCTTCAGATAAAGATTCCGAATTTCCCATGTTTAAAATAGCGTTATCAAATATTTTTGCGAATTCTATCTTTGTTGCGATATCGTTTGTGATCAAAAATGATATGTTGGCTAATAATGATAATAAATTACATGGCACAACGATCATTTACCGCACCATGAGAGATTTGAAAGATCATTGGAGTGTTCATTCTTTCCACCATGATTTTCCAAAGGGTGGAATGGTTAATTTTGTTCATTATAAAGATGAAAAAATGCATTGCTTCATATTTAACTCAAGTGGAATCTTTAGTTATACTTATCGTATTAAGGACCTGTCACGATATATAAAACAACATTACTTTTACCCAATGAGACTACAAGATGAATTGACAAATTTATACAAATTTAATTCTTGTTTAAAGAGAATACGAGCTTGCATTTTTGACGAACATTTTTTGATTGAGCAATATAATGAAGGTACTCAATCCATACAATTATTTAGCTTGGTCACCATGGAAATGGAACAAATTTTTCAAAAAAAGTTGGATAGATCCTTGACGAAAAAGTTTGCTCGTCCCATCTTCTCGATTTCCAAAAATAAATATCTCTTGATGTTTTCAAGAGGTATTGAGACCATCTTAATCTTTTATATCGAGAATGGTTTAGAAATTGCAAGGAAAAGTTTTGGGAAAGGTACGAAAATAATGTTTGGCGAATTTATTAATGGAGATGAAGGATTATTGTTAATTATTAAGGAAAAAAGGAAGTTTTCAATTAAAATTTGGGATTTACTTGATGCGTCCGAGAATCAAATTCGAACTTATGATAGTGATGAATATTTAGATGTTAAAATGAAATCTTATAATGCGAGAAGTCCTGGAAATCTCTTAACGATTGATGCTGATGGTACGGTTTCGTCAATAATTGATAAGTGGATTTCAAAGGAAATTGTAAGGGAGATTTCTAAACAAGATCATTATGATTGTAAATTAATTCCACCTGGTGAAAATATTATGTCCCTACATGAAGATCAAGGTCATTGCATTTACCATCGTAATCCAGATAATACCTCTTTGAAACCATTAGTTAGCGATAAAGAACCTTGGGTATACGAAATTGATTATGAACGAACTTCTGCCTACCTTGACGAAGAAGAGACAATTCAATTAATCATTGGAAGAACCACGGTACAAGTTTGGAGGAAAAATAAAGATGGTTCAATTCTTGAATTTATTTGGGCAAATAAAACTGACCCGAGTGATAATGATAAAGTGGAAAGTGAGAATGCGTTGAAAATAGAGGAATTGACGGTTGGGATTAAATCTTTTTATTTAAAAGTCAAATGGGTTTATAATAACGTTGATCAATCGGTCGAGATTAAATGGCCATCAACAGACGGACACGTTACTGATGTAATTCATGCTTGCGCGGCTTTAGCTCACGTGAATTGTCGAAAAAACAACCTTGTGGGATATAAAAAGCGTCATAAATTTGAAAAATTGATGAATTATATTTCCCTTTTAATTTGGAAATTTATCAATAAAAAACAAGAAACTTGGAAATTATTGGATGTTCGTTATAATGTAATGGCTGATATTATCATTGGAGGCTCTACTTTTCTTATAAAATTTATTCTGCTTGATGAAGTTGAGAATGAAAAGGAATTAAAAAAAACAGGCAACAGACGACTTTTGCATATACCACAACTTCGACGATGGAATAATGAAACGGTCGATCTCAAAGTGCATAATGGGGAGAATCAATCAAAGGAATTGTTACTTAATTATGAATCAACTGATTTAACTGATTTACAAATTGCGATTCGTTTATGCTCAAAAGGTATAGTTAGATTCTTTATCATTCAATTCATGATTTGAAAATTTCACGAATTTAAATTTATTTTTATTTCTTTAGATCCTCGCCGCGTTAACCGTCATATTGTTATTGTCGGGTATCTTTTAGAATATTATACCACCCACGCAACACGAAATCTTGGATGGTTAATTACGGTTTCTAAAGCACTTCCGGAATTATATAACGATAATCATGAATTATTAAGTAATTATATATATTCTTGTCGTCCTTTTGATTCCTTAATAATATAACGTTAATAATTTTTTTTTTTTTTTAAAAAAAAAAAAAAATTAAAATAAATTTATTCTTATACTAGATTATTACGCTAAAGAAATATTTTTTAAGAAATGTTTTAAGGGACTAGAGTTGTCAGATAATATCGATTATAGAGATTTCATGCCTCTTGACGTTGAAAAAAGAAGACAAAAATCGCAAAAATTCATTGCGTTCTGTCCGAATACAAAACTAGTTGTCAAGGAAAAAAATCGTCGATTAAACTTGGAAGTCCTTCAAGATATATTAATAACGATTTATTTCAAAATATATCAAAAAATTTTTCCGAATCCTTTTAAAAACATTCCACCATTAATACATATTGTTCCTTTGTACGAATTTACCACTAGTGATATCGTAAAGAAACAAATCGAAGATCAAAAAAAAGTTCAAACTTCATTTCTTGTGAAATTATTTCAATTGTTATTTCTTCCTCGAAGATATTTATTAAAAGATACCGGCGCATTTAACAATTTATCGCAACTTAGTCCATTTATTCAGATTATTAGAGCGGCAAAGGATAATAATGTATTTAATAATCCAACGATGGAAGCTACGATTAATCAAAGATGGTATCCTGCAAGAAATTATTTTCTTCAACTTTATTTCCAATTTATTTTATATGCAACTTGTTTTGCAGTTTTATGCGAATTTTATCTTTCTCATGTAGAAATAACGGGAAAACTTAATCTTTTTACATTCGTCATCATGATCTATTTTTATTATTTGGGATTTTTTTTATTGTTTGTAGAATATACGCAACTAGAGCATCATGGATGGAAACGTTATTTTGAATTTTTCAATTTTTTTGATTTATTAAGTATTATTTTACCCCTTGTTATAATGTCCACGTATATTATAACTTCATTTAAATTTTCGAATGGGTTTGCAGACGTTATTACGACAAAAGATATATCAATCTACATTTCTTTTACCATGTTAATTCTCTGGTTTGAATTCGTAAGTGTCTGGTAATGTTTGTCTCATTTACCATATTCTATTTATCTTAATTTGTTTCTCGAATCTTAGATTTTATATCTTCGCTTGTTATCAGGTATTTATGACAACTTTGTTAATATTTTTTTAAAAAAAATTTATTAAACAAATCTTTTTTAGAAACCGCGAAATATATTTACATCATTTTAAATATTATAAAGGAATCATATCTTTTTCTTTTGTTTATTTTTTTAGTACTTGCAGCCTTCGCTCACTCAATGTAATTTTTTCATTCCGAATTTTTTTTTATTTAAAGGAGAACGTTAATGTAATTTTTGTGTAATATATCGATTAGGTTTATTTTATTACAACATCCAACTTTTACCGACGTCACACCGAAAACTGACGAATACTCATTGACAAATACTACAACGAAAGAGCCCATAGATGTCACCGTAACGGGTGAAATCGATCCAAGTGATAGATTGGACAATCCAAATTCTAATATTATCGATTCGTTAATTTCATCTTATTTTTGGATTGGCGGATCTTATGTACAAAGGGATACCTGGGATTTTTGGGCGGTAGAAGCGTTAACGTTGCTAGCTAGCATTTTTGTGGTAACGGTTTTACAAAATATGTTCATCGCTTTTATGGGGTAAGTGAAAAAAAAAATTGTCCTAAAAATATATATATATATATATATATTCAACTAACGCTACGCTTTTACCTTTAGCGGGATTTATTCTGACGCGCATGTTCAAGCAAGCAATGCGTTATTAAGGTTCAGGGCCGAGAACATTTCAGATTACGAAGCATTGGATGATGTGCATTTCTTACCCTTGACCCCGGATCCAAAATATATATGTTACATAGGTCGTTCATCAAGTTATGAAACTTGGAAAAAATTAAGTAATGCAAAATCTCATACGTTATATCATAAATATGAGGAAAAAATTACAGAGATTAAGGGTTTATATGAAGTTGAAAATTTGGAAGATAAAAATTGTTTGTGGAAGTGGGATGATGAAAAGTTGATCACGACGACACAGACAAGTGAATTGAAAAAAACATCTCTACGTTGACAGTTAAATGTTCTACTCTTGTATCTATTGACTTAAATTCATTTTGTAATTAAAATAATCTCGTATGTTTAATCAAACCGTTCCCAATCCATACATGAATCAGTTTTAAAACCGTCCAGTTTGGAATCGTCATTATTATTTTTATATTAAACTTATATAAATTCCATTTTATAATTAAAGAGCAAGACTGTACTTGTTTAAACTCTAAATAAATACTAAAAATTACTAAAATAACTGAAAAACATCTTTTCTGCATATTATCACTTTGGTATATTATTAAATTTTTTGTTTTCAGTTTATGATTTTCTTTTAATAATGAATTGCATATAAAATAAAAACAATTTTTTATTTAAATTTATTAATAGTGCTTTTTTTATATTAAAGCTAATATCAATATTCTATTCTAAGATCTTTCATAACAATATTTTTTCATCGTTCAGAGATTCTCCATATTGTTCGTTCGAAATGACGATATAGAAAATCGTTCAATAAAATAATGAAAAATATCCTTGTTATATTTAATTAGAAACATAGTAACAAATATTATTGACGGAATAAATTACCTTGATCATTTTAATATTGTATATTTGGTGATATAGTTGTAGCAGCCCAAACGTGAATATGACCCAGGTTTGGTTTATGACATTTGAATAGTTTTGGAATCTAAATGCGATCCATAACTATGGCTAAAGATTTAGGAATGTAAATAAAAAAATATTTTCACGTTTTCAAGTTAACATTACATGAAATCTCTGCTCATATTTCATTTAAAAAAATAAATTTTATTGCTTTGCAAGAAATAGTTATTTCAAATATCAACATTTTTACGAATTTTTATATTGAAAAGTCGATGTTATCTTTTACTTACTACTTACTTTGTATTAAAGTATTTCTAATTTACTAATACTTTTATAACACTACGTGATTTGTGAAGTAAAAATAATATTGACTTTAATCATTTTTGTATGAAGCTTTAAAATTTAAATAGTTTATATTGCTCAATTACAAACTGACTTTATTTATGTAAAAGAAAAATTACATATACTCTATATTCAGTGTTAAGCAATACATATATTTCCTAGTTTCATAAAAACAATAAATAAAGTAACAACTTAATACCAATCTTAAATTCTTATTAGGGCAAGCACATTCATGAGTTATAAAATTACAAACGATCGCTTGATTTCCCCATTCAAATTCTTAATTTTTTGGTTTTCATCATTTTCAATATTTACTACTTCATTACCTCCAACATTAATGTAAATGTTGTCATTATTAGTATATAAAGTTTTGTTGAGTTTTGTTAAGTTTGCATTAAAGTCTTTAAGATCATTAAAGGTTATTTTAAGGCTATGAGACATCATTGGGCAAAGTTGCAATAAATTTGGTTTTGTTTGTGGCATAAATCTACGGCGACCATGGGTAACCTCACAACGTAATATTTGAGTAATAGTAATACAAAATCCTTGCATCTCTTTCTTAGTAAGCCACTGACCAGAATGGAGTCCAGGGGCAAAACTTCCTCTATTGCTGCTATCCTTATCATGGTTATTATCAACGTATTGATATAACCAACGCTCCCCTTTAGTAATAGGACCTTTATAAGATAATTTCCATTCATTTGATGAGAATTTGGTATTATTAGCCTTTTTTATTCCACCCGCTATACTGCCGCTCGATGTTCCAACTTGTAAATTAATATTTTTTTCATTAGCTGTTAAAAATTCGATTTCTCGATTTGATTGTGTTGGTTGTGATATACCTTTTAAAGTGAAATTTCGTTTTTTTTCAGGTAATGGAGAAATGTTAACTTCGATAGAATGAAGAAAATAACCACAACCTAATTTTTTTAGTAATGGCCAATTATTACTAAGCATATCTCCTATTCCACAACCATATACATCAATTTCATAATTTAAAATTCCGACATCTTCTTCAAAAGGAGCGGTGTTTGCCCAAATATTAGCAGTGATATTAAAATCTTGAACTATATCTAAATTTATAACTTCGGCATTTACATTAGAATCAACAATAATCTTTTTATTTTTATTATCTTTTCCATTACCGTTATCACCACCATCACCATCACCATCACCACCACCATTGCTATCTCCGTTACCATTACTAATATTACCACCATCAATACCACCACCATTGCTATCTCCGTTACCATTACTACCATTATTACTATTACCACCATCACTATTATTATTATTGTCACTACCTCCACCATCTGCACTATTATTACTACTGCAGCCATCATTGCCATTATTATTACCATGACCATCATTGTCATTATCATTATCATTATATTGGTCATTACTATTACTTACTTGCCTCTTCTTTAAGCTTTCTCTATCATTTGAAAAGGGATAATTAGTTGTTTTGTTATCACCCAATATCCTGCCATCGTAATCATTATTTAATAATTCATTATCATTACTATCATTTATATCCAGAGGTTTTACTATTCGGTATATAACTTCAAACTGGTCATCAAACATGGTTTCAAGACACTCTAGAATCGGAATTTCAATAGGCTTAGCAACCCAACAGGCAATACATGGACTAGTAGAATTTTTTTGAAAATCAATTCCTATGGCATACACAGGCTGTGATTTTAATATACAGTCAATATCATCTTTTCGGCTAATAAGTAATTTTTGCAATCTCTCAACTTCAATATATGAATTTGCAGATATTCCAGGGGAAATAGTTGCCTTTACTGAAATAAATTCTGAAATGATTTCATCATTTGTATTGTTCCGAATATTTGATTTATCACCATTACTAACACTAACAGTAGGCTTATTAAACTGAATACAATTAAAAGGATTACTAATATCAGCTACAATCGGATTTTCGGCTATTTTATCATTCGTTCTCTCTATGGCTTTTATATAATAATATATTTGAAAAGAATATTTTAGTAATTAACAATTATAACATAATAATAAACTAATATATACAATTACCTATTAATTCATCATTTCCGATAAAAAATTTGTTATTTATTCCAGCTAATCTTTTATACCATTCTAATGCTTTTGTTTCATCTTTTTCAACCCCCCATCCATTTCGATAACAATTACCCAAATTAAATTGTGCAATTTCATTACCATTATCTGCAGATTTTTGATACCAGTAAAAAGATTCTTTTAAATCTTTCTGTATTCCAATACCATGTTTATAAAAAAATCCTAAAAAATTTTGCGCATCACTATTATTTTGATTAGCTGATTTTTTATACCATTCAAATGCTTTTACTTCATTTTTTTCAACCTCCCATCCATTTAGATAATATAAACCTAAACTATATTGCGCAAACTTATTATTATTTTCTGCCGCTTTTTGATACCAATAAATAGCCATCTTTAAATTCTTTGATATTCCTATACCATTTTCATAAAAATATCCTAATTTATTTTGTTCATAACTATTAT